TGAATTTAAAAGATAGTGAATTTGGGTCACTCTTGTGTTAAGAGTTGACTGGGAACTGGATGTAGGGTTGATTATACCCAAACCAGTATAAACCACTGTGTGCTCTTCTCTTTTCCTTATCTCTTTTTCACTGCATTACTCTCCTTACGCCCCTTATTTCTATCTCTATCTTTCTCTATCTTGTTGATATTTTATCTCTCTAATTATATTGCTTCCGCTTTATCTTTGTTCAATTTGATAATTAAAATTGAATTAATAAATATTGGACATCTTAAAATAAATTTTTAATTTGGTATTTATTTAATTTGTGCATCTATTCACTCTCTCTAGATGTCATTTGTCTAACATTATGAGTTCAAGAATAAACTAAGTTTTGATGAAAAAAAAAAAGTTAATTTCTCATTGAGTCATGATTAAAGTAAGGGCTAACTTAATTTAAGTTTCACGTCTTTAAATTTTTCCCAATTCTTCTACTTAAAGATATATTTTCTATTAACACATGGTTTATTTTTTGAATATTTGTCATTATTAGATAAAATTCATGTAAGAGTCTTATTATTAAGTTTGAAATTTATCATAATCACATCACCATTGATTTAATCGAATTGTGTAGTTGTTTGATCTTCAATGATGTTAAGAATTTGATAGGTTCCGCACTTCAAACTTAAAATTTTCTCAATCATATATTTAAATATGACATATTCGAGCATGTTATTTGTTTTCTCTAAGCATTATAGAGACATCTAAAAATTAAGATTTAGTTCTTTTGAACATAGTGTAAACCATATATAGGTAAGACTCATACTCCATTAAGAACTAGGGGTGTTAATATGAGTTCTAACCTGTGAGCTGACCCGGCTTGACACGAGTTCGAGTTAGAGTCAGATTGAGTTCAATTTTTTTTGTTATTGAATACGGGTCAAAATGAATGCAACTCACTTAACCCACAGGTTCAAGTCGAGTTATAATATGTTGACCCATAATCCACACTATATTTTAAATTAAAAAAATAACTAATAATTTAATAAAATATAATTTTATTCATTTACGTTATCATGTATTTGTGCCACTACAAACCAATAAAGTCACATTTACTCAAGGTTGTTGTACTTGTGTCGCTTGTCGTTCGCTGCGTTCACCTAATCTGTTGCGTTCTTTGCGTCCACTACCACATCTGCCATGTCCACTTAAGTATGCTTGCCTATCCTGTGCCTTCTGCTTTTGTTTGTCCACCGCCTCTACTATGTCTCTGATCTCCAATATGTCCATTATATTCACGTGTCTGTTACATCCACCATATTGATTGTAGTGAGTTGAGTGGAGTAGTAAAATCTTTACATCACCATAAAGTGAGCTGAGTTGAGTTCACCTATTTTCAGCTCAACTCATGGTAAGTCAATTCGTGTGAGTCGGGTTGACCCACTTTGACATCCTTATTGAGAACAAAATGAATGTACTCAACAAGATTTCTTGTTTTGTATCCATATCATATGCCTTTATCATAGACTTTGGTCCATTTCTCCAATGAAATTTCACCTAATCAAGACATTTCTTATTAAAACTCATATCTTATAGCCAATGATTTTGCTAAAAGTGTTGACTGTTTCATATCATGTCCTGTAACAAAAATATAAGTTAATAAATATTATATTTGTTAAGGTCAAAACAAGTTACTTAGGTTGATGACTTGTTTTTCAAGTCAACATTTTTGAAATTTTTTTTAATGTTTGAGGCAACTTGACAAATGCAATACACTAGGATTAGATCATTCAAATGAATATCTTCAAATTGTAAGAATGACAATATTCTTGTATTTTGTTTGTTATCATGCATAAATTGCCTTGAGTTGTCACATAGTGTCTTAAAAATTGGAAGAACCATATCAATATCTCTTTTGTCTTACCTCAATAATTGCAAATGTCATCTTGTGCAGTTGCTATCAATAGGGTTGTATGATATTTTATTGTTAAGAATATGCTATCAACTTGAATAATTAGTTTACAATATATAAGGCTTTCTATGCATCACTTAAATGACTAGAATATATGAACATATGCTCTAACATATATGATGCACACCATGCACTGAATAAGAAGGATCACTATATTGAAGAATTGTTCTCCGATTAATATCTTTAACAACTTTCAACCACTTTGAAAGATTGTTATATTATTACTTCCCAATTTTCAAGTGCCATGTCAAACACTTTCTATTTTTCTATCCATGTATTTTTGTTTTCTAAGTGATTGTATAACCATGTTGGTCTTTTATTTCTATAATCAAAGGTTTTATAGGAACAAAGACATTTGATTTTACCAATTCATAAATAATATTGACAATTCATACATAGGGTTTATATAGTCGAAAAAATATTGCACATATATTGCACAATGTTATACCTTATAAATAAGTTGTATATATTTCATTTTGTATAAGAATGAATATATTTTAATTTATATTTTTCAAGTTGGTACGAGAGCAATGACAATATTTTAGATCTTGAGTATTTTGAAACCTCCAAATGAAATAAAGAAAATTTGATACATATAGAACAAAATTAATTCTTTTTTTTAGTCAAATTCAAGGAGTTTTCAATACTATTTCAAAAGCCATGTTATGATATTAGGAAGGAGACGTAAATGTCAAAATTGAGAAAAAAAGTTTATGGTCAAATAAAATGAAAATGTATCTGCACTAGAAACAACTATAAATAATTTTGGTAACACTATTAATATTTTTAATGATATATAGATTATTGATACTCTAGATAAAAGCCTGATTTCACTAACCTCAAGTTTTTGGTTTTTTGTCCTATGCTAGTAGGTAGAACAAAACTTGATTCTAGAAGCTTAAAATGTATTTTTCTTGGCTATAAATCTAGAACTAAAGGTTATGTCCTACATGATATTCAATAAAAGTCCATCATTGTTACTAGAAATGTGTTTTCTCATGAAAACATATTTTCTTACAATTCTTCATTGTTAGCTACTTGTAAAAAACGAAATGATATTGTTAACTCTTGTTACAAAACTCTTTTTTATTTACTTTTATTCTACTTGTTTCACTTGCACAACTCTACACAAAATAAGAATGATAATTATCTGATAATACTTAAGTTACTATTTTCGCTCGTAACGTTTCTCTTATAGTAAAGAACAAGACTCCAACCTCTAACTCAATCCAATTATTCTAATCCATATCCTATGCATTTATTCATTTCCTATGATAGTCACTCATTTGAACATGTTTCTTTTTATGATAACATTTTCGCACAAGTTGAACCCATATCCTTTAAAGAAGCAAGCCAACTCGACTATTGGGAATAAGTTATGGCTTCAAAATTTCAAGCTTTGGTCAGAAATCATACTTGGACATTGGACATTGGTTCATTTTCCCCCTAATAAAAAATCAATTGGCTACAAATGGGTATACATGATCAAAGATAAAAATAGTGGTTCTATTAAAAGATTTAAAGCAAGATTAGTGACCAAAGGTTTTATTCAAAGAGAGTGGTTGACTACTTTGAAACATTCTCACTTGTTGTGAAACTAACTACTGGCTAACTTCTCTTAGCCATGACTAGTGCTAACAATTGATCTTTATACTAATTGGATGTTGATAACGTATTTCTTTGTGGAGAATTACATGAAAAAGTCTATATGAAGTCTTATTATGGTCTTTCCCTTTCTCATCCAAAGCTTGTTTGTAAATTCCAAAAGTTTTTATATAACTTAAAATAGGTTGAAATTGGAATAAAAAATTAACCTCTGAACCTCTTTTTTCTTTCTTAGATACAAAATTTTGCATATCACTCCTTGCTTATAAAATGTGCCACATTAATAATTACAATTCTTTTAATTTATGATGATGACATTATTATTAGTAGTAATAGTCTCTCATAAATAGAATTTGTTTAAAATCGTTTTCACTCCAAATTTCATATTAAAGATTTAGCTCTCTCAATTTCTTTTCTTTTTTTGTATTGATAGGTAAACTTGACTCTAAACCTTCTCCTAATCCTTGAGATCCTTGTGTAAAACTTCAAGCCTATGAAGCACCATACTTTCATATTTTCATATCTTCTTCTTTTAGAAGACTCATTGGTTAATTGTTGACTAATACAGTCCTAGAGAACCGCAATTGCAATAAGCTACGCGGATAATTAAATACTTAGATAGTGCCTCTTGGTCTTGTGCATCCATCCAATACTCCTCATAAAATACAAGCTTTTTCAGGTTTTGATTGGACAACATGTGCTACAAATAAATATATGCAGTTGTCAAATAAATATAATATAGTTGACCCAAGACCTCAAGACCTGAAAAATGGTGGACCTTGGAAGATTTTCTTACCTTTTTCACAACAATGTTTTGTGAGGTTCCATCAGAAATATAGACAAAAGTCAGAGTGATACAAAGAATGGCAAAAAGTAGAAAAGATAGACAAAGTTATCTTCATCAGACAATTTATTGTCATTTTAATTCTCAAATTAGTCGTATTTCTTTTTAAAATAAAGAATATAATTGCAAAAAAAAATGTAGTAAAAACAGCTACAAAATCGTCATTATAACCTCATTTAACGAGTTCATAACAGAACGACCTCGTACTAACTTAATAACGCGTCACATCATGCATTTACGAACAGAGACTAACAGCAAAAACAAACTTCAAAAATTTAATTTTGCACTTATTCTAACGTCAAAGGCTACAAAAGAAAAAGCCTCCCAAGTTCGAGTTACCCCAAAATAGAAGTATCGAAATCAACTGGTAACTTCAATGAAAAATTGTTAGAACTCTATGAACATCACTCAAATAAATCACACATAATGCTTTGTTTTAACATTACTAATACATTGATGACTGTAACAGGATCTTATTTCACATAATTCGAGCACATCACACATGCTTGTTGCGCTTCATATTCATAAGAAGTAATGCTAGAAATTGTAGAATACTTTCCCCTTATTTCATCTTTTTTGTGGCTAAACATGGCTAACTGTTCACAGTTGAGCAGAGTTATTGGCGATCGCCCCAGCATCATTGAGGAGAGGAACCAGTTGTTGTTCTCTGTGTTTCTTCAAAACAGCTGCAAAGATAAAATGTTAAATGCAGATAAAGAAAAATAAAGCAACAAACACATTGGTATGGTCTTCCCCTCGTGGAAAAAGAAACACATGTCCAGGGCCTTACTGTCACAGCCACCAATGTGCTTTCCTCCAATAAACACGTTAGGCACAGTCCTAAGCCCTGTCCACTCAACTAAAGCTGAATGAATATCAGCCCCATCACCTTCAATTACAGAGAGAATAATATAAGGGAGAGTAAAAGCAACCATTAAAGGCACCATAGAGAATTGGTAGCAACCTAGTTTCTTCAAAATAATGTTCAACAGACACTCGTCAGAGGAAAATAAGATTTCCCGTGGATATAATGAGTGTTCGTTGGACTAATAATTTTTGCATATTCCACTATGTATAATTCATAATACATGTGCATGCATATAATTAAAATTCCAAAAGATTTTCTAATCAATAAAAAAAAAAGAGAGTGAAATCTCTTTCACAATGATGCAATTAAATCAATAAGTATTGTGTCTATTTATAGGATGTGTTACAGAATGTCTAAAACGAATTTGATATAACTGATTGATTGGTGATGGGGTACCAAAATGTCATGATTTCAGAGTGATGAAATTTGATATAATATGCAAATGAAACAAACATGAAGTCAGTGGAGAGAGCATTCATAGCACCCTTACTTTCCGTGTCCAATTCAACGACCTTGTAGGCTGCTCCCAGCTGCTCGAAGAGATCTTTGACCCGCTTGCAGTAACCACAGTAAGTCTTACTGACACCACACGAATTACACGATGGAATGAAAAAGAAAAATGAAGGACATACATCAGAACTAGCTTTTCTATTGAACTTTCAATTATTAGATGCTATCAGAATCTTTCCTCACTATTATTACTGAGCCTTTCCCACCATCCATTACCAGACCGTTATTAAATCACCCACAAATGTTGACAAATATAGTCTTACAAGTCTTAATATGTTTTGGTAGGTGGAGATCCTAAATTTCCTAGTGATAAGGTATCCTTTATACAGATAGCAGAGAGCATAAGATAGGGATCTAACCTTGAAATAGGTTTACAACTTTCACGATTAAATAAGAACAAAAAGAAAAAAGAAAAAATGGGCGGAAATTATAAATAAAAAAGACTTATAATCTAAATTGATAAATAGGGCACGCCAGAATCTAGATCTACAAAATAAGAAAAATTCACCACTTTAAACATTAAGAATCAAAAGTTTTTTGCAGGAACTTAGAAAAAAATTTATCTCTTTTAAAGTTAAACTTTAAAATCTTTAGTTCCTATATTACGAGTAAAAGAGTATTGTATACTGTCCAGCCACATTTCCTAATTAAACTCATCTCTGATGAGCCGTCCAATTTTTAAAAGAAACCTGTCTAATAAAAAGTCTAATGAAAAAATTACAAATATTAAATCCAAAAATTATAATTCTATTACCCATTCTTACACTAGTCAACTCTTATATTATCTTGAACTTACTCTTGGAGTTGATTTAGACCTAAACACAACTTCTATAATCTCAAAACATTTTAACTAAATAATTAGGATTTCATTGATAAAACGAGTTACTTGCAAAATATAAACAACAGGTAGGTTAGACTGAAACAAAATACCTGAAGACAATAACAGGGGCAGAGAATACTATCTCCTTAGCCTTATTCAACGCTGCTTCCATCTCTTCTTTGCTTTTCGGTGAACTCAACAGAGACCCCATTTCTTTATGTGTGTGTTTATATGGTATAATAATTGGAGAGAGCAGAATAGAGAGCAAGCCTGAAGCTTTGGCTTGGGACAAGTGTTGCAAGGAAACAGAACTAAGCCGAAAACAGAGCACAAGTGTTTAATTTTGCTGCTGCTTGGTGGCACGGGCTTGGGGAGCAAAAGAACAAAACTTGAAATTGTATTTTAGCGGGAAGAAAGCAAGTAAAAGTCAAAATTTGAAGTAAGAAACAAGGGAATTGGAAATAGGGTTCAGTTCAACTTCGGTTGTGGAGCAAATTGGTAATCGAGGCACAATGAGGTGATAGGGAATTTGAATTTGATGGGAATAATGGTAAGGAAATTTCGGATAGAAATGGAGTCAACGGAAGATGATTGGTGAACTACGTAGCAGATTGTTGTTAGGGTAAATAATTAGTAAACATCTCTTATACAATTGAAGTTAATAATATAATAATAAAAAAATAAAAAAAAAACTGTTGTTGAATGAATGTTTTAAATTTTTTTATAACCCAAACGCTGATATACAATTAATTTATAAATAAAAGATAACACTAAAACTCATTATTATAAAAAAATATTTTATCTAAAAATAAATGGTATAAATAATTTTGTTTTATTATTACTTTTATTACACAAATTTTAGGAGGATTTGCTGTGGCTCCCCTGAACCACGTAGTTTACAGTACACCACTTTTAATATTTATCATATTAATTTAGAATTTATATTTTATTATATACCCTCATTATTATATATCTTTTTTCTAAAAATTATAATCTTTTAGTTAGTTTTAAAAATAAATAAAATATTATTTTTAAATGTAAATTATAGTTATTTTTAAAATGCAATTAGGATTTTATTAAATAAACAAATAATTCAAAATATTAATATAATTTGTATCTTATAGAAAAATATTTTTCTACATCATAATTACTTAATATTTTATACTAGATAAAATTATTATTCAGTAATAATTTAAATATAAAAATTCTCAAAATTTCATAAATATTATATTAAGATTTTAATATAAAATCAATTAATAATATGTGAAATAATCTATTAAGGATTTAAACTATTATATATAATATGTATAGATCAAGTGAGACTTTCCAACATTTATGAAAGATATTCCCTTATAATAGTTAAATATGTTGTTACAGAAAATATTCCTTAAAATGGTTAAATTCGTTCCTACGGTTTCTTATTCTTAGTGCAAACTCAACTTTTAGTGAGAGACAAAAACTCCATATAAATTAAAAATTAATTTGCACATAGTTCAACAACTACAAAAGAAATAAGTTAATAAGAAAAGATTGAAAGTTTCAAGTATTTTGGTTAAGTTGTAGCCTTATAAGCAACATTGTTTAGCTTTGAGAAGAATGAAAAGCTAAATTTATGATATTGTAGGTTTACTGAATAAAACAAATGGAAAAGAATAAAATAAATGAGAAAAATTGGAGAGAATGAATATGAAATTAAATCAATCGTTATTCAGCTTGTATTTAGAATGCTAGTTCAAAATACATTTATAATACTGCAGTAACGTAAAATGTAGAAAAAAACTAATTTGAGATATTTTCTCCTAAAATCTAGGCATATTTACTTTGACTAGAAACCCTTATTCAACAACCAAAACAGAAAAATAAAATAAATAAAAATATCATGTGCAGTCATGTGCAGTCTAAAAATCAAATATCTAACACTCCTCCTTGGTTTTAGAACTGCAAACTCCAATCTTCTGCCTTAGAAATTCAAACTTGTTGAGTTGAAGTGGTTTAGTAAACAGATCAGCAACCTGGTTTTCAGTTTTGCAATAAATTAGAACAACAACTCCATCCTTTGTACCTCCCTTAAGAAGAACAACTTAATGTTAAAATGTTTAGTCTTCCCATGAAAAACAGGATTGTGAGAAAATGGCTATTGCAGCTTGGTTATCAACAAAAACTTCTGTACTTTCCTTCTGCTCCATGTTAAGATCAATTAGAATTTTCTTCAACCACAAGACTTGGTTAACAGCAGCTGCGGCAGCAATAAATTCAGCTTCTACTGTAGATTGTGCAACAATTTCTTGTTTCTTTGAACTCCAAGAGAAAACACCAGATCCAAAACTAAAACAATACCCTGAGGTACTCCTCATATCATCAATTGAGCCACCCCAATCGCTATCTGAGAAACCTTTCAGTTTGAATTCTTCAGTTCTCTTAAACTTGATGCCAAAATTGTAAGTTCCTTTGATATATCTAATAACCCTTTTTGCAGCCTTGAGATGCATTTCACTTGGGAAATGCATAAACCTAGATAAAATACTTACAGTATTTAAGATGTCAGGCCTAGTTGTTGTAAGGTACATCAAACATCCAATTATGCTTCTGAAAAAATGCTTGGTCTATCTTCTCAGTTCCATCTTCCTTGCATAATTTTTCCTTTTGATTAATTGGAGTGCTCATTTCTTTGCATTAAGTTTGAACTTCTTCATAACTTCCTTGGCATATTTTTCTTGAGAAATGAAGATTTCATGTTCTCTTTGTTTGATCTCAATGCCAAGGAAGAATGTCATTAACCCAAGGTTTGTCATCTCAAAGACCTCCATCATTTCTTTCTTAAACTTTTCCATCAACCTTGTGTTGTTTCCTTTCAATGAAGGAGTTCTTTGAGGATCTGCAACATCTGTGTGAATTAATTGCAACTTTCTTGATGCTCTCCAGGCAGTTTTTGAGAAAGGTTTTCTGTTTTGTTTGCCAAATTGACAAGCCTTGCAATTTGAAATTCGATCCTCAAGGTTAGGAACATCAAGTGTCAACTCTTGTTTACACAACTGCAGTAGTCCCTGGTGATGGTAATGCCCAAGCCTTTTGTGCCAGGTTTTTGTGACATCTTCCTTAAGTGAGAAAGCAGCTTGCTCCTCCTCCAAAGGATTTAGAGAAAAGCTTTTTCCTTTCATTTTTACCTTGAACATATCCTGTCCAGCTGCATCTTTAATCAATCAATGTTTGTTTTCAAAAACAACTTTAAATCCTTTTTCAATGAGTTGACCAACACTTAATAGGTTTTGGTCAAGTTGAGGAACAAAAAGAACATCAGGAATAAATTTTATCCTTGCACAACTTGTTATTGCAACTGTACCCTTTCCTCTAACTGTTATATAATCACCATTACCTATTTTTACTTTAGTGACATTGGTTGGCCCCAAATATTTGAAGAGTGACTTGTCAAAGGTCATATGGTTGGTACAACCACTATCAATTAGCCAACTTTCATTGGACTCATTGCCCAAGAAACATGTAGCCACAAATAGTTGGTCTTCCTCCTCCTCCTCTGGATCAGCAATTTGAGCTCCTTCATCGTGGTGATTTTTGCTTTTGCAAATTATAGCTTCATGCCCCATCTGGTTGCACTTGTTGCATTTTGCCTCTGGTCTTCTCCAACATTTGAAGGGCGGATGACCTTTTTTACCACAATGTTGACAAGGTGGATAGGTTTTCTTTCCTCCCTTGCTTCTAAATTGATTGTTTGTTGAACTTACATTGCTTGATGCTTGATTCTTATCAATTTCATGATGTTTGACTGGCAAAGCACCTTCAACAACATGATCTTGTCTCATCATTCTTCGTTGTTCCTGAGCCTGTAAGGCATGTAACACTTCTGACAAAGTGATCTTAGAAAGGTCATTTGAATTCTCCAATGAAGCTATAGATGCTTCATACCTTTCTGGTACAGTTACCAGGATTTTTTCAACAATTCTAGAATCTGCAAAATCAGCTCCCAATAACTTTACCTTGTTGGAAATATTTAGCAATTTGTCTGAATACTCTTTGACTGTATCAGACTCATTCATCCTTTGAAGCTCAAACTCCCTCATTAAATTAAGCACTTGCATGTTTCAAATTCTTTCATCTCCAGCATATTGTGTCTTGAGATAATCCTAAATTGCCTTTGCTGATTTGAGAGTCATGACCCTAGTAAAAACCGTGGTAGAAACCCCAGCAAAAAGGCATGACCTTGCCTTTGCTTTTCGGGTTTTTTTTTCTTTGTGCAGCTTGATCTGGGTCATGGTAGGATTGTCTGGTAGCGGAAGGACTTCATAATCGTCTTCTACAGCTTCCCATAGATCCAAAGCCTCCAAGTAAGCCTCCATTTTGACAGCCCAAAGATCATAATTTTCGCCATAAAAAACTGGAGGTGCAATGTGTGAGAAATTTGGTTCGACATCCATATCCACAGGCCCGTAAGAAAAAAGCTCTGATACCAATTGTAGGTTTACTAAATAAAACGAATGGAAAAGAATAAAATAAATGGGAAAAATTGGAGAGAATGAATATGAAATTAAATCAATCGTTATTCAGCTTGTATTTAGAATGCTAGTTCAAAATATATTTATAATACTGCAATAACGTAAAATGTAGAAAAAAACTAATTTGAGATATTTTCTCCTAAAATCTAGGTATATTTACTTTGACTAGAAACGCTTATTCAACCACCAAAACAGAAAAATAAAATAAATAAATAAAAATATCATGTGGAGTCCGTGCAGTATAAAAATCAAATATCTAACCATCAACCTTCATAATATGCAAACACATCGCGATAAAGAATTATACGCCGTCTGACACCATAAACGAGTTGATAGGAATGGAAGGCAAATCCATGTAGAATTATTACAGTAAGATACAAATTGTTTTAATGTAAATCTAACTATTTTCTGTATGGCCTAATTTCAATTGGAAGAAAAAATGGCTTCCATATCTTTGTACAATGAACTTGATTTTGACTTGAAATCAGAAGACGAGCTTCCACTCCTTTTGTTTCCCCAGAACCCACTCCATCCAGTAGTGCCACTAGTAGAAGGATCATTTACACTTCTTTCCCTACCAAAGCTAGACTTTGCAAATTCCCTTAGCTGTTTCAACCATGCTTTATCAGGTGTACCTGAGCTTCTACTACTTGAGAGCCTTGACCTGTCACCACCTGAAGCAGTGTCTCTAGGCTCTTCATTCCCATTTCCATCTTGTGGTAACCTCTTTACCAAGTCTTTAATGCACTTTTGAGGGATGAAATACAGAAGAAACCCAATGGAGGCATTTTTCAAACCTGTCAAGAGTGATTTTTCCTCAGGGTCCAGCATCTTTGTTTGCACATATAAAGCATACCATTCATTAATGATCTGTGCACAATACCCCACTAGGAACAGCACAAGCATAAAAATCCCAGTCTGAGTCTCAGCTCTCACAGAAAAGTCCTTCTTCAAGAGGACAAAACAAGTAGCAAATAACGTAAGTTCGCAGGTGAGTGAGATTATCTCCACTAGCTGAACCCTTTTCTTTATGAAAGGTTTCTTTAACAGCATGAAGAATAGCTGAAAAGAAGTCATAGACAGCATAATAATCACCGGAGTCTTAGAAGACCGAGCCGGAACAAAGAGACCTGCCAAAATTCCCAGGGAGACACGCCTTATGGATTCCAGAAACACGTAATATATCCTAAGAATCCCAAACAACTTTTGGATGAACGGTGCTTCTGCATCTTCTGTTTCATCATCTGAGGCAATGATGCAGTCTCTTTGACTCGGAGGATTGCCAGTACCACCAGATATCTGTGAAAGCATGTACTTTGGAGGGCCTCTTAAGTCTTCAAACAGGGGGCCAAAGATGGTTAGATAAACAGATTTAGGTTGTTCTTTCCATGTCCACTGGCCTCTTTTACCTGGCCCCAGAGTTACTCTCACAAGCTCTTGGTACCAGTGAAATGTCAAACCTTCTTGATGAACTTCCTTGTACTGAAGTAGCTTTCCAAATGTGATTCCAATAGAGAGGAACATGAACAAAGCTAGAAGCACAATGCACACCAAAACCAACAGTAGAATGCCAGTTGCCATTTCAGAAGGAGATCCCCCTAAGGCCATAGAGCAAAACAGAAAAATTAAACCTAATAACTATAATAGAGGTTTTGAACTTCTGAAGAAGTAACCTTGCGATGAAGACAGAAATCATATAAGTGAAATCATCTTAATTTTAATAGCACTAGAGGGAAAATATTAAAGTACGTAAAATTAGAAATACAACCAATCCTTGCTTCATAAAACACTATATAATGTGGTTGATCTCATTGATGGTTTGAAGCAACTAGTATACAGTTCATATATGTCTAGTAACTTTTATCTGTCATTGCTATATTTTTGGTTTTACTTATTTATCACAAAAAATGGTTAGGTGGCAAATAATAACATTATGACAATGCTAACCTTGAATTAGGACAGCAGAGGACTTGCAAAGATTAGGTAGTGCAAGAAATATAAGAAATATCTCAAATCTTGGGAATGTGAGTGCTCCATGTATTTTATGCTTCTCAGAATTTCTCTTCCCAAATTTCAGGACAATGAGGAGAAAAATATGCAGAACCAGTAAACCACCACAGATCACAGCTAACCAAAACATGCTTCTATAAAATTCTGTCCATCTATAAGAAAAAATAATTTAGTTTGATAATCGATTGTAAGTAAACAAATATTGTTGAAGCACTTGAACTTTGAATACTTAGACAAATAAATAAATTATAATTTGAAAACAGAGTGTGCTTCTCATGAAATGCCTTTTCTTATTGTTATAGATGAAGAAAAGAAAATTGTATCAAGTTCATACGGTTACAAATCCATATATTCACTGTTTATTTAATAACATTTGACTTGTCATATGAGTAAAATAATATTGAATGCACCAATTTTCCCCTCAAATTTGCATTTCATTTTATTTTTAAAATTTTGTAATATCTGGTTTAATCTAATTAAGCATACTGTTAGTAAATTTTGAAGCAATGCTTATTTTGCAAACCTTTTCTTACATCTGGGGTTGAAATCTGGTATAGCATGTGCTGACAAGAAATATTACTATTATGTTGACAATTTTTAGTTAACATTGCATATTAAAAATATTAGCAAACTCGTAGAGTAATACAAAAGGTTGTAAAGTATTGGTGGTCTAGTATTCATATTCTAACGAAAAAGTTTGAAAAAACTATTTTCCTAAGATATTATAATGTATTGACGCATATAACTTACCCGGTGGAATGTTGTGAATCCAAAATATATTCAGCTTCTGGCTTCATATTTTCACTCTGCAAGTATGCATTCTGAATTAAGAATTGACTTTTTTTGTTGTAATTAACATAGATAAGAAACTAACTTGTTCTAACCTCAAAATATTGCTGGTACTCTGAAGAAGTAAGTGGTGATCCATATACTGAAGCAGCCAAATTCGAACTCTTGACAAACAACTTGTTTGCGATATTTGCTGGGGCATTTGTGATGAAGTTAGAAGTTCCAAAGGGATTAGAGCTTATCATGAATAGGTTCATGGGTTCAGTTTCCCATGGAACAGAAAAATAGGGTATGGTCCATTGTAAATGTCTGGCAAATTCATAAAATTCGACTGGCAACCTAACTACTAACCATCTACATAGTGCGAACACCTGAATATGGCTCAAAATTCTCTGCATGATTGACAAAGTTAACGTATCAATGTGGTATTCTCTCCATAATCACTATAAAAATATAAGAATTCATGGTAATTTACAGAAGCTTTTCAAATTTGATAGAAAACTAAAAGTTCAAGATGTTAAAAGAAAAGAATTTCATGTTAGTTGAGATATGTACATTTTTTACGTAGTAGAGAAGAAACAATGGTCTCTACTCTCTACGCTCGAAGTAAAATCCACTCTACAATAATCTACGATCTATGTTTTGTTTGTGACAAGGAAGAAAGTGAATGCATTGATTTAGTAAGTAACTGAGCATTGAATTAAACCAAATTTATCTCCATCCTTTCTTATTTTTGTTTTTCCTTGTTTATAAACTCTATCTCCCTCCATATGATACATTGTCAAGCAATATATCCGACTCTTTCTCTGCTATTAAATTACTGATTCTCCATTTAAGCAGCAACTCAACTTATGAACTAGTGTCACTTGTCAGCAGGATTCAAGTTAAGTGTCTTACAAGAAGATTCCTTGCTGGATCGAAGACCAAGAAAGATGATGATCTCGTAAATGTACCAACAGATTGAAGGCTAGCAGTTGAGATAGTAAGAAAACCCGCAGTAATTGATGTCAGCACAAAAGAAGCAGTTGTAAATGCAGAAACCACAGAGGAAATGAGAGGCATAGAGTCTGTATCATGATTGCAAAACCATAGATATGTTAACAATTATGGATGAGAAAGACGCAAAGGAAAAACAATATTACGATATACAAGAATATGAATGCTCACAGGATGGACAAAAATATCAGCTCTAATAACAACACTATCACCAAAAATCAAATGAATAAGCAAAAATAAAAAAATCTTACAGTGCCTCACTTGTAGAAAATTGGAAGCTAGATTTTTGTTTCCAGCAACATCTCGTGTTACATTCTCAGGCACACTAGCAAAGAGTAGACCATCATCTGCTTGTAACTCGACCATGTATGTGTCCCGTCTTATTTCGTGGAAACTATACAGAAAACAAAAGTTACAAGAGAAAAGATGACTGTCAATAGGCATTTTGTTGTCTCATAATTCAATGTCAAGGAACTTTTCATTTTAAAATGATGCATGTATATACATACATGAATCACTATTGTGGTTTCATACTACACGATATCTCAGAAGACGAACATCTACAAAATACTTACCTTTTTAATGAACCCCCAGAAATTGATATGCAAGAGGAGTTGAAGCCAAAAACAGGCTTCACAAATTTAATTAATATTTGGAGGTTGTGTTCTCTTGTTCTCATGCTATATGTACTCAACATCACAGCCGGTCTCGAAGTGTCTGAATTCCAAACATGGCCATGTTAGCAGAGAGCATTTGGAATCTCATGATTCTCAAGACAACAATATATATTAATATTGTTATATGAATCTAAATTTTGTTTTCTTGGTAGTTGGTGGATAACATATACCATAAAGGAAAGTAACTGGTGCAATTGGAGAAACTCGAGTCCCTTGTCTTGTTATTATTGACTCCGAATTGAAGTCAATTGATATTATAGCAGTAGAAGAGATATTAGCAACCTGAATAAGAGTCCGCCAAAAGAAAGTGTAAGCAGAGGAGAAGCACTTAGAATTATCATAAGATATACACACTTAAAACTTATCATATCAACGAATCAACTGACCATGAATCCAAATCTACGATCTCCAAGCCTTTTTGCATTATTTGGAAGAAGTGAGCCCTGACTAATGTTGATAGAATTCAAGATTTCTGCAGATGAATTCAGAACTGGAGCTGAGAAGTACAAATATATCTTTAGCCTGTCAAAGTCATTAGTTGCTTGTATTGTTCTTGTTGCACTGTCAAGTTGAAGTAGTTCTTCTGGTACACTAGTCCTGATGTTGACATAAACTTTCCTCCTGTCTGTGTATCATGGTTCCATAGAGAAGATCAAGTTTTGAACATTAAAATCTGATATCAAATTTGTTCTTTAGTAAGGTTCACTTATATTTAGTGTGCATAAAAATCTTCTGAGCTCGTAACCTCTAACAGAAGTACAATCTAAAATACTATTACATTATAACAATATGTTCAATTCTATTGGATTAAAAATCAAGCACCTGTATAAAAAGACAGTACAGCATCCATGAGGCCACAAGCACCAAATGCACATGAACTTTTATTCATAAAGTAATCAAATAAATGATACATCACGCATAGCTGAAGATATATTCTACATGGTATGACAAAGTTACACCTACCAAAATGTATATTAACACTAGAATTTGGCATTCTCATGAAGCTGTTGCCAGCAAAGTCAGTGCAGAAGTTCCTATCCATTACAAGGATTGCCCGGCCATATTGAACTGCAGACGAGAGACTAACGAGAAGAGAATAAATGAGATTTGGCTGTAAAATTCTAAAGGAGGATGGTATGACCTGGCCAGCACCATAGACAAGAAGCTGTAGAGAAATAATACAGCAGTATGTTAAAGACTGATGCAGTATTGTATTAACATATTATTTTTTCAAGAACTCTCACCCCCTCATTTTTATTATTCCTGGCTAAGTAATATGGATTTTGCATATTCCATAACCAAAACATAGAAATCTCGGAAGAATTCTCATTGATTAAACAGGTAGAAAACTTCCATATTTTTTATTGGCGAGTCTGAACTCTTGATTAATTTTTTGGAAATATAAGCCGATGAAGTGAATAGGCAATGAGGGGAGGCATCAATTGCATGACAAGTTTTGGCAGACCTAACACATTCCCAATCTACATAGTCTAAGTTGATCATAGATACATAGTAAAAAAATGTCAGATTTTAACATAAATTCATTTATATATAAGTCGCATCCTGAGATTGAAAAAGGTAATGTGAAACTTCCCAACATCCTCTAACAAATCAAGTGAGCCTATTATAATAGGCAACAACCAAATATGTCAAATTTAAATTTAAAATCAATTAACATTAAGTGAAGTTGTCCACGACCACATCCCAAAAATTGAGTAGGAACTTCCCAACGACCCACCTCCATGGATAATTTAAGACATTATATTTTAAGAAATATAAGCAATCTTGGTTAGCAACCTACTTACATTGCATGCATTTACGGACTTGCATCCAAAACCTCCTCCACCTATACAGGGTTCTGTGAAAGATATGTTTACGGACACATTTAAAGAACTTGTAAAAGATGACGAGGTAGTAACATATGCCGTTGGGGGAGTTGTATCTGAAATAAAATAATACTGTGATATATTAAAATTCTATTCAAGGAAGAGAATTTTATGTTAATCTCAATTCATCAGGCATAAAGTTCAAGCTAAATTTCTACTTTCCCTCCTTTCGATGATTTTGTAAACTCCATGTTAAAAATATGCAAGCAAGAGGTAGTTAAGCATTGAGATATGATATGCCTTAGCTATCCTGTTCAATATGTGAAAATGATTTTGCTAGTCATATTTGTGGCATAAACTGTTCAACTTGAAATACTAATGTTCTATTTTATGCTACATTATTTAGTCAAAATACTCTGGACTTAGCTTCTTTCCCTCCCACCAAGACACATGACATGATTCATTAACAACGCATCAGCAATTAAAAGGAGCCAAATCCCACAATTGATCGTTTACTGGTAACAAGCATAAGATATTAAGTATGGTTTCTTAACCAACAGTCCAGTTATAGGTGGCACAGTCAAGTCCTTGATGTCTGGGGCAGACTTCAAAAGTGTGATTTCCATCCCTCAAGGTTCTGTATTTAACTTTTCCTTTTTTACATACTGATGCGAGCTCATCATCCAGCTGCAAAAAATGTATTTTATAATAATCAGAACAGCTTATAAGATACCCCTCCCCCTTCCAAACATAAAAAGTATATAAAACAAAATTAACACCATGAACCAACATTTTGTTCTAGTGCTACAAAACAGAGTAGTTGGCTACAACATGATAATCTGCCAGGTGAATCTACCCCTTTAACCTTGAAATTATTGTATGATACTGTACCCCACATGCTTATGGTCCCGTCCAATCTTCACGTAAATAGCCATTCTTTAGTTTATGAGGAAGAGTTAATAAAACTCTGGTACATGAGAAGATTGGTCAAGACAACAAACATGTTTCAGTTGTAGATCATACAATAATTGCTCCCTAAAAGGATTCAGGAATTCTTATGCACGCATAAGCTGTACTATGTTTCCCGTGTCAACTCCCTAAGAGAAAAGCTTTCTAATCAGCAAATTGATAAATTTGTTGATTTAATTTCTTTCATGATTTTTTATGCCTTGCATAAAAACATATCCATGTTCTTCGATATTAATAACGAACAGCAATAAGTAATATAATTAACATTTCACAATAACAAAACGATTCAGTTGCTGGCGAAACTAAGTGGAGTAAACGACTTGCCAAATTAGCACACTCACACACACACACACACACACAAACCTTGCAAATGAGGATGCAGTTTGAGCAAGGGCTCTCACTAGAAGTGTTAAGAACTTGGAAAGAAAATGTTGCTGACTTAAAGTGAGAGAATGCATGGGGAGCCTTCAAGAACTTCACATAAACATCAGAACCACCACATTTGGTAATGGAACACAGCAGTGGTAAAAGCCAGCAGAGTACGGAAAGAAATGGGACGACTCTGAGCAGACCCATGTTAAGACACCGTGGAGGTGAATGCCACTTAAGTGTGAAAGAGTGACATTTTCTTGTTAGTGTGGTGAAAATGTTTGAAGAAAGTGAAGAAGAGCTTTGCATGCAAGAGGGTGTACAGAGATAGAGAAAGAGAGATAAGACGAAGTTGTGGTGCTAAGATAGTGCCTTGAACCATGGCCATTGAATCATTGATGATGATAATTGCATTAAGGATAAGCGAACATGAATTTAACGGTCTTTGTCGTTGTTGTGATAGAAAAGCACGTTCTAATTGTCACGGGTAATTATGAATTATGGTATTACTATTTACAGACACAAGAGAGTGAAAAAAAGGTGCAGAAGAGTACTCTTACTCAAAACTTTCCATCATCTTGTTTCTATTAAATAGCGGTTGTTAACCAAACTACGGATTATATGTAATTGTTGCCCTCAATGCAATCACTAATTACAATAATCAAGTAGTTGTTGGTTTAATTAGAACTAGACCCAATTTTTCTTATCAACTCTCAAGTTCATTTTTTGTTAATAAGATGTGGTTGAAAAGGTAATCTTAGTTTAATTAGTACTAGACTCAATTGTTTTTTTTTTTTCATCATGATTTAAAGTATTATGGATGAAAAATATGTGATTGAAAAGGAAACTTCATTAAAAATGATTAATTAAATTACATTAACTCAACTTATAGACCTATATTAATAACATAGTATAAAAAATTTCACTATAACAAGATTATAAAGAATATCCTAGTTACATTTTTACTCACCTTGAAATTGGCAACACCACAAATCTTTAATGTTAATTAATAATATTTCTGTTTCAAAATATATAATGTTCTGGTGAGAAAAATTTTATTTCTAAATATATCATGTTTGAAAATTTATTAATATTGCACTTAAACAATTTTTCTAGTTTAAAACTCTCTCATACACCATAGGCATAGCAGAACTTGTCAGATAGGATCAGAAGTAGATGATGATAACATTACAAATAGGGAGAAACTTTCAGCACAAAAATTTGGACTCAAGAACATAAATGCAAATAAAATAAACCTTGTACTAAGTTCAATTAATGAGCAGGAAAAAAAATTTGTTAGTCCAATTTTGTGATGTGAGACAAGAAGTGAAGACAAATTGAGTGGAGACCAGATCTCTGACTCTCATTCACATAGTGACAATGTGGTTTGGGTAAGATAATAAAATGCGTGCTGATTTCAACCTTATAAACGTTATCTCTCATTACATTTTAAATCTTATGATAAAGTCTACACTCTCGTGACCCATCCTTTATTAGAACACTCAATCCATCACATTTGGACACGTCCATGATGGTCTCAAATATTGAGAGCTATGAAACAAAAAAAAATAGAATTTTTATAAATTTCATATCTTAATTTTTTTTTCAATGACATACTATTTTATTCATAAAATTTGAAATAAAAGAAGAATATGAAAGGCAAAAACAACTTTTAAATATTATTTATTTATTGATATTCAAGAACTAACTAAAAATAATGTATACTTCAAAGGATGAAAATACCATTATTCAACTATTATAAATTTAGTTTATTAGTTAAGTTATAATTGACTTAGTATATGTCAAACTCTCATTTGGTTATTGGACGAAATTAAAAGTAATTTTTAAACATGATGATCTTTTAATTTACCTAATCTCTTAAAAAAAATCGTGGATATATTCATCGTTAAAAATTCATCTTAAAATTTAATTTGAACATCAATGAAGTCTAATCAACCATAAATAATAATAATTTAAAATATATGAAAATAGATAATATTTTTAATAAAGTAAATGAACATCCCTATTAACATCAATAGTAAATTTTAAAGGTTCATTTGGTAATTAGTATATAATAAGATACGATAAGATAATAGTTTTATAATTTTGTAATCACTTTTTTTAATGATGAGATAAGATTTTCTCATCTATTTATCTATTATATTATGTTGGTATACACTGTATTTCTTTACATGGCCGGATTAGAAAACAACATGATATCATAATATTAATTTAATTTTATACAAAAGGGTATATATATATATATATATATATATATATATATATATATATATATATAATTATTTTGATTTGTTATATCAATTTTCTTCTTTCACTTGATACTTTGTACAAAGTTCATATATGATTTGATTTGATAATAAGGTCGCAATGCTAAATAGTGGCGGATCTTTTTGGGAGCTGAGGAGGCTCGTGGTCTCACAAAATTTTGTAACTCACATGTATTTTATGATTTTATACTTCTAAACTTAATAAACATTTAATATATTTACTTGTATATTTACAATTTTATCCTCCCAACCCTCCTCGGTTTTGTAAGCTCTCACATAATTTATGATTTTGTCACCTCAAACTTAATAATTATTTAATATATTTAAGTATATATTTACAATTTTATCATTTCACCATTTCATCTTCTTACTTTATTTTATATTTATTTATTATTTATTAATAATATATTATTTGGCCTGATCCATGTTCAACATCCGCGAATGACTAAAGGCCTCTGACACAATCCATTTCCACTCTGATTTGGTCTAGATTACAAATTATAATATAATACTTGTTGTTGTCTTTGCATTTCACACGTATAATGAAGTACTCAAAAGATTAATTAGTTAATTAATTATCGATCAATAAAAAGAAGTCAAAATATGATATATTATACCACAAAAGAAAACAAAAGATGATTATCATTCTTTATCTTGCAATCTTTACAAGACATGAAAGAACATATACATGATTTCTAGGGCAAGAGACATAAACTCGTGGAGCATCTGTTTTTATTCTTAAAAAGTACCTGGTCTATGTTTTTATCACTTTTCTGAACAATGATTCGGCGGTGAGATTAATTTATTAAAGTACTCCTCTCCATCATCGCAAGTGCATAATATAATAATATATTTAAGTATGCGCCATCTTTAGGACTAGTTCCCGCATGATAATATATTCCATAGTTTTATACAAGACGACCACAAATGAAATACTTCAATGAAGCCTCTCTCTATGATACATAGAGTATAAAAATTATCATTATTTTCAATTTCTTGCTCCACTATATTGTTAATTGTATTCATAAAGTGTTTGCTATAAATATATACATGAGCCCGAGGAAAGGAGGATATAACGGCTGAGGAAGCAGATATTCTGGACCAAAATAAAAGGGAAACTAAAAGAATGAGAAGACTCTTTTGTTCTTCGGAAGATTTTGAATTTCAATTCTTTCATTAAAATGCTATGAAATTCATGACTTTTTCTGGAAGATTTTGATTATGAACCTACCAACCCTTATCCATGTAAGCATTTTATATGTGCATTCAAGCACTACAATTTATTCTTCGTCATTTTTATTATAGTAATACAATTTATAATGGCTGAAAGGTTAAGCATTTCAAGAGTTTATAATGTCTAGAAGTTGACATAGATAATAACTTTTATATATATATATTCTTATTTTTTTAACGTATTCTAAGAATATTTGACGTCAGTTATTGGATAACAACATAGTCTTCGTCTAATTATATCTCTCTATCCTTAATTAGAAAATTATATTTTAAAATACTCATTTAAAAAATATATATTTTAAATTAGATTATAAAAAAATCTAATTCTTATATACTTTTTTTATTAATATAAACTCAAGGAAATTTGTTTAATTTAATTTTTATTAGTGAAATTACTTACAATACAAACTTAGCTATTAACATAGTTTTGCACCACACCATATTTTTCTTAGGTCAAGTTGTTAACAATAAATAAATCTTTGCCTAGACTAATAATTTTAGTCATAGGTTTCATTTAACATTTTATCAAAATCTTTAATATAAATGTTGTCTATTTCAAGAAAGCAACAATTAATATAACGGTGGCACTTATAAATCATTATTTACTAGCTTTTTTATTTAACATCATAATTTATAAGTTTTGCCTTTAAAATTTAATAAAGGCAATGTAAAAAGTACGGACTATAATGATAAAACTTAAAAATATAAGATTAAGTTATATATGGTACTCTCCATTCTTAAAAGAACTAATCTATCTAATTAATAACAACTCGTGCTCCAAGTTTTCACTTTGAAAATTTCCTAAGCTTTAGTATAAGTGAAAAATTCAATTCGCTCTTTATTCTCATTTAGAAAAAAAAAAAGAAAAAAAAAAAACTAAAACTTTCCATTCTTGTTTCATTCACGTTAGTCTAAGAAAATAAAGCTGAACTCGTCTTCAACATTATCAATATTATGCATGTGTATTCAATGCATTGATGGAGAGGATGTTGAGTATAGATTAATGTGTTTTATATGTTAGGATTTGACTAACAAAACCTTGAGTTTTGATTCAGTATTGCATTATTTTGTACTCTTCAACATGTTTAATCATTAAAACGAATTAGGTATAATCAACTAGCTCGTCAACTTATCTCAAATTAGTAACATGAGTTAATAGTTTTAGTTTTTTAATTTGTTTTATCTCATCTTATTTAACCTACGAATTTGAATTTGATGGATTAAAGATGAGGCATGAAGACACATTCACCCAAATTTTTTAAGTTATATATTAAAATTAAAGTACAAAATTATAATTAAAATATTATATTTTTTTTAAAATTATATTGTTTAAATATGTAAATATATTATAATATTATAATTTAAATTATAAATACTAATTAATTAAGTTTAAGTTATTAATTATAATTGATATTTAATATATAAATTATAATAAATTTTTAATTTATCTAATAAAATTAATTAAAAAATTAAAAATATTCATATAATTAAATATATATTTTAATATATATATATATATATATATATATATATATATATATATTAGTAATTTATATAAAGAAAATATTGACTTATTGATCTATAACATGTGGTTTAATAGAGTGGGTTAAGATAAAGATGGAATAAAATTGATATATTTAATTAAGAGGAAAAGAAATAATTATTATACTTAAAATTATAATTAACTTTTAGATTTATTAAATATTAAAGAAAAAATTAAAACTGCTTCATAATTTATATTATTTAATTTAATATAATGATTAAAAATATTAAATCTAGCCTAATTTCAAAAAAAAAAAGATTTTAAAACCATTACCCTATATTCATCTAATTATTGTGATGATTTGATGTATTCAATTTTATTTATAATGAAAACATTTTAAAAAGTAATACTAATACGACATTATTGATATTTCTAAACACAAATAAATATATAATTGGAATCCTTATTATTAAATTTTTTTAGAGAATTGAATAAATAATTTAAATCAATAAAAAAATAATATAAAAATATTAAATTCAAATTTAATATATTACTTGATTAAATATTGTTGTAATTAAATTTTCACATTTTAACAAATATTATTGTAATTAAATTGTGATAATTTTGTCTGCTCAAAATTTTGTTCAATAAAAAGTTTAAAATTACCAATTATTACATGATTTCATGTACATTTCAATTTCGAAATAAAAAATACACTTAAAAACTTATATTTTTTTAATTATATTTATAATGGTGTAGTTTACTTCAAAAAAATATCAAGTATATTAATTTCATCTACATTACTCTATATTTTTATTTATTTAAAATAAACTTAATAATTAAATTATAATTTATATAGAATTCAAAAATATGTAAAATAATATAAATTAATAAATAAATTATAATCTACAAAAATTAAATTTATAATTTTTTTTCTATTAAAAGCTAACTATTAATTTACATAAATAGATCAATTTCTATAAATAAGATCTTAAAATCATAAAAACAATACAAATCAATATTATAAATATATATATGATTTACGTGTAAGCATTTATACATTAATATTTTACACTCTCGCTTACCTATAAAATCACTAAGATGCAAATTTATAATTTAAGAATATTTTTCTAGTTTTCACTTAGAATCTCTTCAACATTTCTACCAAATATTAAAAATTAAACCAGTGTGACATGAAACAGAGATGTAAGATAAGTGATATTTTGACTTTTCAATATTAAACATAACTTGCATCTAACTCTTTTTTTTTTTTGAAATTTATATTTTTATCTATATATTTCTATTTTTATTTTTATAATAACCAAATTTATTTTATCTTTTATAAAATATTTTTATTTTATTATCTAAATTAAATTAAATAATTTAATTAAGACAAAATGAACAAATATATATATATATATATATATATATATATATATATATATATATATAATGAGTTGTTACAAATTTGATCACTAATAATTTCAATTTTTAATTATATATATGTCTCAAATAAATTAATATATTTAATAAAGTTTTTTATTTTTCCTTTAAAATTTTATGTATTTAATAACTAAAGGTCACCGATAATATAAAATATATTTAAAAATTTTTAAAGCATTATATTACAATTTTAATATTAGCATAATCCATTTATGAAAAAACTAATATGAATTTTTTTTTAAAATAAATTAATGAATAAAATGATTTGAATTTATAACAAAATATTTATTTAATTTAATTTAATTATAAAATTACCAAAGTAAATTTTTCATCCAAAATAATTAAGATTAGAATAAATACAGAAGATATAAATGATCAATTATAAAGACGATGTAACCAACACAAAATTTTTATATTTAATAAAAACTTAAAAATGTGACATCAATTACATTTAAATAATATTTTAAGTTTAATTTAAAAAACATAGCATTGGTTCAACCTGTGTTTACACTTTTACATGTATAAAATCAAACATAAAAAGAAATAAACATGACACAATTTTTTTTTACTTACTAAAAAATATATAGTGTCGGTTTAATGACGGACATTAGTATTTAATAAATTTTTGTAGTGACAACAGAAAATCAGTTTAACCCACATAAAATTTTTATATTTAAAATAATATCAACTAAACTTACATGGCATTTTAATTGTAAAAGCATAATTTCAGTTCAACAAAATAATAATAATAATAATAATAATAAAAGAAAAAAACATAAAAAAGATAACACAATTTTTTAAGGATTAAAAAACATAAAAAATATATACGTGTAATATTGATTAAACCCACATTAAACGGACATTTATCCGTTAGTTTCATGTAAAAATTCATCTTCCTTTCTCCACACGCCAGTGATATGCTTTCTGTTTTTTGGAATGAGAATGAGATGTGATTGAGCTATCCATCCATTTTCTTTAATAAAATAATATGCAAAAATATCACTGTATAAAAATGTTATGAATATCAAGTGAATACATATCTGAGAGAGAAAAATAAATTAAAAATATATATAATAATTAATCGATCTTAATGTCATATGAAATAAAAAAATATATAATAATATAGCTTTTGTGTTTTGATTAATCAATTATGATTAAATTCTATTGATACACACAGCATATCAAGATCATATTTATTGAAGAATAATGACAAAAATCAAGTAATTTGATCAACTTAACTTGAAGTATTGAAAGGAGTATATATTAAGTATTTTTTATTTTCATATATTAATTAACATATATTATTAGAAAAAATTAGGAAAAGAATAACTGCAACCATCTTTTTAAAATATTTTTAGCATATAAAGTATTAATTTCTCACCCTAGTCCTTTCTCTCTACTTCTCTACCTCTGAATATATATGCTCTGCACTGACTTTGGCGCATGGCACTGCATCCAATTTTTTATGAACTTGGTTTTTCCTTTTGAGAAATAAAAAGAAATGGAGAACAACCTCTGCAACTTTTACTGTTCGGCCACTTCCTCAGACCAGTCAACGACAATGGCTCCACCTCCGCCGACTAAGTCTATCTTTGGGAAGGAAGAAGACGTTTCAAAAGCACTTCGTGCTAAAGTTGCTTCTCACCCTCTATTTCCTCACCTCCTCCATGCCTACATCGATTGCCACAAGGTTATACATATATATATATATATATATATATATATATATATATATATATATATATATATATATATATATATATATATATATAAGTATAAAATGTGAATGGTACATGTTTCCATTTTTCAAGTCTCATGTTGTAGGGATAAAAAACCCTCTTTGAAACTAAATGATTAATCATCACTAGAGGTAGTGTTGTACTTAGCAAAGTCATGTTGTCTGTGTGTGTTTTTGTTTTCATTTTATGAGTAATTTTGTGTTTCAATTTTCAGGTGGGAGCACCACAAGATATGGCACAACTATTTGAAGGAATCAAAGGAGTGCATAGTGGGGTGTGTCAGATATCTGAATCTGAATCTGATCATGGCTTCTTGGGTGCTGATCCCGAGCTTGATGGTTTCATGGTCTCTTTCTCCTCCCAAATATACATACATACATACATATATATATATATATATATATATATATATATATATACATATATATATATATATATAGTTTCTTCTTGAGAAAATTAAAGAAGTAAATCACAAACCCTAATTAAGTTTCCCGGCTTATTGTTATGTTGTTTGTTGCATATTGAAGGGAACGTTTTGCGATCTGTTGGTGAAGTACGAATCGGATCTTTCAAGACCCTTTAACGAGGCAACCATGTTCCTCCGTCACATGGAATCTGAGCTTCACTCCATCTGCAACGATCTTGCTGCTACACACAACACTCCTCCTCAACTTGCAGGTCTCTCTCTCTCTTTTGATGGCTATTATTTCTTTTCAAATGAATTCAATGGTTCACTGGATTATACACCATGCTCTTGTTTTCATCTGTTCTCTGATCTTTCAAAAATGAGATATATGGCTGGTAAGTTAAGAAGTTCACAAGGTTTACACCAAATTGATTAACATTTACGAAAGATTAGAACATGATATATATAACATCAATTTTTGTGTTTATCTTTTTTCATCATTATAAACATGAAATGAGATAAATACAAAAAATGCTGTACAAATAATACTTCTCTTCATAAAATTAAGAAGAGATTAAGGTTCATAAAATAATAGGAGATCAAGGTACGAAAAAGGTCCTAAAGCACGATTGAGGAACTGGCTGGTTCACATGGAGGCACTGTAGTCATGTGGTTTGGTTTGTTTTGGTAGCCATGTTAATTATACGTACATCCTTGCTACCTTCATGATAACATCTATATATCAATGGCTGAATAAAGAGTGTGGATATATATACAACTCAATATTCAAAGAAGTCTAATCAGTTAACTGAACAAAACCTGTGAGTCGTCATAAACTTTCTGATATGTACTCAATTTTCATGGATAAAAATTTAAATCTACGAAGAAGATCAAGGACAAGTTGACAATTGTTGCATACATCCAATTAATTTTTTCAGAAACTAAAATAACTCTGAAAAACTACTTATATGTTAAAAAACAATGGCAATTTCAACTTTTTATTTTCAAACATGTAAGAGGGTTTAATTTAAAGAAAAAAATAATGATACACAAATTAACTACACAAAGTTATAATTTCCATAAGTACAAAAAAAACAGTTTGTAATGATACATCTTTAGAAGAAAAAAAGAGGGTGATTAACTTCTACCCTACCAACATATATTTCAACGGGTAAGGTATTTTTCAGGAGTAGATCAACGAATTATTTATGCGTGCACTTGTAATATTATAAGTAATGTGAAACTGATAACATAAACTATTTATTTAATATTTTCATTTTTTAAGTTATGTAATTATCTTTTTTTTGTGAATTTCATTTACATTTATAATATATTTCTCATGTTTACCATTGAATTAAAAAAAATTCTCCTCAATTTTCAATTATTAGATTATATACTATTAAAATTAAAATTTAACTCATTTATAATGTAATTTTAATATAATTATCCATTTTTTGGGATATATACTGAAAACAATCACCAATAAAGTTTTATAATATTTTTACACATATCCATATTTTTATATCACCTATTTTATTCCATATTTCTTTCTCTTTTACACGTGTTTAGCTTAACAATTTTCCTATGATAAAAATTTCAAATTCTTAAATTTTGCACATTTTTCTGTTACATGTGCTTGTATATAAGACATTTCTGTTTAATTTTTTTGAAAATGCTACTCTATGCAGCTAGAAAAAAAAAGTTTTTTTAATTTACTAAGAGTTGAGGGCAATGATCAAATTAGTCAAAATGGTAAGAACCATTCATCCATTCAAGAGTCATTTGACGAAATATATGTCTATCTTAGAATTTCATAATAGCTTTATGTCGTGCTTGTTTGTTTTCTTTTATCATTTTATATTAAACTTCTTTAACTTATGTATCCTTTCTTTATAGTATCACGAGCTACTTTACTCACAAAATAGAAATATACAAAAACTTCATTGTCGAAAAAGTGGAGCAATATATATTACTGGTGTTTCAACTAAACATGACTTTAGTTCATATATTTTGAGATTTGACAGTAGTTTTGCTATACGTCTATTTTGCATTTAATATTTTATAATTTTCAAGAGTTATATTGTTTCCGGTGAAGTCAAGAAATTCAATCAAGTGGGTTTTTTTAGATTGTTTGAGTGTTTCTCTATTAATATTTTGACTTCGCATCGCATGTCATTATAATATATATATATATATATATATATATATATATATATATATATATTTTTTTTTTTTTTTTATGGTAATGGATTATATATTGTGTTGCGGCTAATATTGTAAAAGTTGACAGAGAAAGGAGAACATTTACAAACTTTTTAGTAACAATAAATATGGATTATATATGTTGAAACTTTAACTTCTTAAAACTATTGTAAGTCTTAAAAACTACCCTATAAGTTCTTAGAATGAGAAGTGCATGCATTGAAAAATGCTACAAACTTAAAGATTACATATATGAACATGAAAAACATGTGATAAATACATCAAGTTTATCTGTTGTTTTTTTTCTTTCGTTTCCAACATTTGAGGCAGTTGATTGTAAACAATTTTAGTTCTGATTATGTTGGGTTGATATTAAGATCAATTTGGTTCATTTCGTAATGAGTAGCATATTTCTCTGCTAGCTAGCCCTAGTGTGGTGGTTCCATTTTATATTGGACAAAGGTAAGTCCATCTCATTTGTACCTCAGATGAGTCAGATTCTTTAATAAAGAGAGTCATTTCCAAATCTATGTTATCAGACCCAATTAATAATGATGTCTACTAGACATTTGCGGATCTAATGAAAAGCATGAGTTGATAGTGGTTTAAAGTAATATCAGTGATATAAAGACACTTATCCCTCACATAGCTCATTCCAGGCATCACCATTGATTAATTACTTTATTCATTTCTCTCTCTGTCTTTTGCTTATGAAACTCCATCACCAGCTCCTCCTAGGATGATCTGCATCAAAATTTTTCTCTTAAATATTTTGTAAATCTTTTAAACAAGAATGAAAGGAAAGGATGAGGAAGAGGAAAATTTCTGTTCCCCCCTTTGTTTAGAAGGAGATAAAGAGAAGAAAATGAGGAAGCCAAACTGTATTCCTTCTCATTTTTGTCTCTACTTTTAATATTATTAATAGAAAACTTTAGCCAAAGGAACAGTGATTAATATTTAAAACCATAAGTTTTTCTCTTTTTTTACATTATTTAATTATGAGAGAAATTGCATCCGGTTATCATCAATTTAAGGGTTTTATACTGTTATTCAGAAACTCTCTTTCTCCTCTTTATTTCCATTGGCTCAGCAAATAATTATATAATAAGGGTACTGCAACAACTATTACAAAAAGTTAGCAACTCTCTAATTATAAAGATATACCCTTTTTTTTTCCTTTTAATCAAACAATATATATTATGTTGGAAAAAAAAAAAAGTTTTGAAGTTCTCAACTGGAACAGTTTGGAGCCAACTTGAAAGAGGTATAATTATTATGGATATGGTCAGGTGTGTCTTCTCTTTGATCTTTACCATGAAGATTCTGTTCCAAGTAGTGGTGTGGTTGCACGTGTTATACATATACACTGATCTCATCGTTTCCTTAGAAATCCACTCCTGTCTCTTCCCTTTTCTTTTCTTTAATCGCCTCTGCTTTTGAGGCTATCCATTAACCCTATTTCAAATTGTTGTGAACTGAGCCTTTTGTACTTGAACCCTTAGGGTTGTCACAGATTTTATTTAGTAATTCCTTCACAGAATCGAGGATACACAGTACTTTATATGATATCTGTTCATTCATTGGCTATTTTGAGTAAACCAGTTGCAGTTCTGGATAGATAAAGTTGCTTTCTTTTGTTTGTGCATTGAGCTGGATCTGAAGATTGTGGATTTGATGGAAAATAAGATTCACAAACGTGGAAAGAGTTAGTTACGCTGGATTATCCAGTTAAAATGCACACACATGAAACTTTATATACATCTATTAATGCCTTTATATATATGTATATATGCTTTTTTCAGATGTATGCATGATTGTCTATTGGTTATTTAAATATTCTTCTATTACAGAAAGACATGGTAGACACAGAACTGTGAAGTGTTAACTACTATCAAGCATATACTATGTTATTTTATGGTAATTGTTCTAGCATATGGATATTTCATTGTGCCTTTAGGGAAAGGGGGAAAAAGAAAAGCTCAAGACACCGTAAATGAGAGTAGCAATTTAGCATTATTGTTAATTCAAATGTATGCTTGATTAGGACAACTCGGAAGTTATCTGACTTTCTTTACAGTAAGATAGTATTTTGGTATTCACTTGCATCATTGGTGGTTCATTTTTCAAGATTTAGGGTTTTGGACTTATGCATAAACAATTAGTTCTGAATAGTTAAGTGTGGTTTTTCATTAATGTCTCTTAGTATAGGTTCCTTAGTCTCCAATCAGTTTCCTTCCTCCAGAAATGCTTAAGACCCAATTAGAATTATTTAGTAATTTTCCGGTTTGGAATATGAAATATATCAAAGATGTAAATCTAATTTGTCACTATGAAACGCTACTAGACCAATTTTCAGCTAGAGAAGATCAATTATTGAAGTTTATTTAACTTCTATTATATAGTTTTTAATTTGAAATATCAGTATTTGGTGGGGGAATAAAGGAGGAAAAGAATATTTTAAAAAATCTACTGTTTAGGTTATAATTAGAAAAAATAAATCATCTTATTTAGCTTCTTTTCATGGGAGGAATTCTGGGAAGGAGAAAATGATTTAAAGCATTGGAAATGTTTTGACTAAAATAGTATACTTTGTAATATTAAATTTCAATTATGTAAAAGTAAATTAATTTCTAAACTTTGAGAGACAAAATAAGAAAGGAAATCATTTAGTTTATTCAAATCTCTTTTCTTTTCCAAATTGTTCACAATGTCTAATGAAAAGTGTACTTTTCATTGAATATCCTTTCCATCAAAATTTCTTTGCTCTTTTTCCTTCTGTTTCACCAAACAAAATTGAAAAAGTGAAAGTAATAAAAAAAATGAAACAAAGTTACTAATTTCTTCTCTGTATTTAAATGTACTCCTTTTATACTTAACAATGTGTTTCATTGTAGGTGGCGGAATTGAATGCAAGAAGATAAATGAAGTTCAAGAGTTGAAAGATAATCTTCTTCATAGATATAGTGATTACATTGTTAATCTGAAGCATGAATTTTCCAGAAAGAAGAAGAAAGAAAAGCTACCAAAAGAAGCAAAGCAAATCTTACATGCATGGTGGAATATTCACTTTAAATGGCCATATCCCACGGTAATTAAATATTTTCTTCCAAGCATTAAGAGAATATATATTAAGTAGCAAAACACCCTCCAACATACGCATTAACAAACACCTATTGAAAACTATAAAATAACAAATTCCATTAAATAAAAAGTGAAAGTCAATAAATTAAATAATAATAAAAGAAAGTAAGAATTTGTTTGGATAAACGCTTATAAGTGAATTAAAAAAAATCATAAGTTGAATTTAAACTGTACATATAAAATTAATATAATTGAACTTGTACGTAAACTTATTATATCTTATGATAAAAGTTCTAGTAATGTTGATGAAATTTTTTATCCAAAAAAATACTATATCTAAAGAAGAATATTAAAAAAATTATTCTTAACATTTTATGTGTAATTTCAAAGAGCTTATGAAATTACTTTATAACATTTACACTAAACTTATCAAAACAAGTTTCATGATTAACTTTTTATTATAAGTCTTTAATTAAGGTTGTTGTTCATTCAAGTACACTCTAATACATTCCTATCAATTAAGCATTATTTGTTTTTGACATTTAACCATGATTGACGTAGGATGCTGATAAGGTTGCCTTAGCTGAATGGACTGGTTTGGACCAGAAGCAAGTAAATAATTGGTTTATAAACCAAAGGAAACGCCATTGGAAACCATCAGAGGAAATGAAGGCTGCAATTTTAGATGGAATCTATGGACCCCTACACGAGTCAGAGTGACAAAGGTGCAAAGCTCCTGCATGCACCATTAATTATGCTTTCTGCAACATCAAATTATAGTCACATCACAATAAGTTATGTTTTCATGCTGAAGCACTTGTTATAAGAAATTTATTATATATAATTAATTTGACATAAAAAAATATTTAATCATTATATTAATTGAGTTAAAAATTATTTTATTAAATTATAAATTAAACTGGTCTCTAATTTTAGCTACCAAAATTTTAACTATTAATTAAAAATAAAAATTTAGTTTTTAATTCATAGATTATATTAAAGATTAATTTTAAATTTAATTTAACTAAAATCATTTCTTATTTAATTAACGGAATGATTAAATATTTCAAAATTAGTCGTATTTAATACAAAAATAAATAAATTTCTTGTTACGAGATTTTGTTTTATTTCTTTTTGAATGGGATGGGGTGAGAGAACTGCCTAGAAATATGAATTTCAGTATACTTGTAAATCAAGGTAGTAATAAGAATATACTACAAATATTTAAAGAAAAAAACAAATTAATAAATAATTATTTTATCGATAATAAAACAATGTAGTGTATTTACTTAATTCAAGTTTTAAATTTTGTCTTCTGTTTTTTTTTTTTAAATAAGCAAAAAGTTTTATTATGAGCATAATACTAATCTTATGGGCAAGGGATATCCAAATTACTATAAAATATCTTCAAATCTCATTAGGGTTTTTTATTTCAAGTGTGAGGACAATAATGACAGACTAAATTAGTAGGGATAAAGTCTATCCAAACCCTAATACTAATCTTAAAAGTATTTGTAAATGGGTAAGTTAAATATTTGTTTATTAAAAATTAGTCCGAAACAAATATTTATCCTCGTAAAGTGTGATGAGATAAGTAGAAGTACAATTACTATAGTATAGATATGTGAGAACACGTGGCTTGCATTTCAACATAAGAGGGAAGATTTTTCCTTCTCATATAGTTATCAACAAAGGCAAGTAATTTTTGGTGCATAGAGGAGGCTACAAGCTAGCTATGGTGAAAATGAATGGTAAGCAATAAATGCATTTACATGTATTAAGAGCATTGAGTTGCATATAAATAAGCTTCATTGCATTAACAGAAGATATAACAATCACGAACAAAGTGTTTCGCATAATGAGAGAAAAATAAGAGAGTGGTGAGAAATTTCAAGAGTATTGTGTGTATGCACTGGGAATTACACTTGAAATTTTTTGGGTATACTCTCTAGTGCTTTGTAATATTACAATTGTAGTAGAAGAGGGTCTTATTAGGATATACTATATTGGGTACCTATTGATAAAGAAAGTGCAGATAAAGTATTATAATTATCCTTTAATATAGTGTATTATATCCGAAAATTGTCCTATGGTTTTTTCCCTCATTGGGTTTTTCACGTAAAAATTTTAGTGTACAATTTCTTTATTTATTTTGTTGGTAGTGGCAAATGTATCTCGGTGTCAAGTACGCTATAGATTTCAATTAATTCTACAAGCATTGTGTATGTTTTCGCATACATCCATAAAGTGTTCAAGATATCTAGGGTGTATTAGACTTTGATTACCTGACAAGTGGTATCAGAGCCAATTTAAAAAAAAAAAATCAAGATGTCAGTACCAAAGTTTGACGTGGAAAAGTTTGATGGATCCAACGACTTCAATTTATGGAAGCTGAAGTTGCAGGCATTGCTAGACCAGCAAGGTCTCACAAAGGCGTTAGAAGGCATAGACAAATTGTCAGAAGCATTATCTCCTAATAAAAAGGAGGAGATAATGGCCAAAGCACGGAGTACAATACAACTAAGCCTAGCAGATAGTGTGTTGCGAGAAGTTATGGGTGAGAAGACTGCAGATTCACTATTGAAGGCTCTAGAAGAAAAATACTTTGTAAAGACACTGTCAAACTAACTTTACCAAAGAAAGCGACTGTACACGTTCAAATATTCAAGAGATAAATCAATACGAGACCACATTGATGATTTCAATCGGATGATCACCAATGTGCAAATAGTTGGAGATATTGACCAAGCTATGATCTTATTGACTTCACTATTGTCATCCTATGATAATTTCTGTGATATCATAATGTATGGTAGGTCCTCCATTACCATCAAAGAGGCGTCGATGACGAAGGAACATCAGAAATTAGATTTAGGATCAAGTGTTGATAATCCTACAGATGGACTGTTCATGGCGAGAGGGCGTAGTCAAGAAAAAGGAATGGGAAACAAAAGTGGTAAAAGATCCAAATAAAAAAGTCATAAAACTATAAAGTGTTTGTTAGGATCGAGCGCTTACCACTAGGCCAAAAGCTATAGCCGTTAGTCAGAGCGCAACTCTTTTTACTTTAACAGCCCAAGCGCCACGATTCAATTGTGACTCGGCCCACCTGACCTTCGTCACAGGACAATTGATGCTACCTGCAACAATCTCCCCCTCAGCAATTGTCCTACAAGGTATCCCACTCTTGGATTGTGACTTGGCCCACCCGGCCTCTGCCACGGGACAATTGTGCAACCTGCAACAATCTCCCCCTCAACAATTGCCCACCAGGAATCGAACTCGTGACCTTGGCTCTGATACCAATTGTTAGGAACAAGACAATAATAAAGGAAAGAATAAAGGAGAGAAAAATAAACGACACAAGAATTTTAACGTGGTTCGGCTAAAATATGTATGCCTACATCCACGACTACACTAGGAAGTATTTTATTTCTGTGTATATCTCAAACTTTACATAGGGTTGCTTATATAACAAAATAGAGAACCTCATCTCACAATCCTAATCGATGTGGGACTAAATCAAGCACCATAATACTAACAATTCTCCCACTTGGAGTTTGATTTACGTTACCACCTAGTGTAGTGCCTTCATCATCAATTTGCTCGAAGGCCGGTTGAGGCGATGCAAAGCCTCAACTTAGTTGTTGTAACGATCTTGGTCAACATATCGGCGGGATTCTCTGCACTGGAATCTTCAACAAACTCAAGTCTCCATCATTTATCGGGTTTCGATAAAATGATACTTCAATTCAATGTGCTTACATCCGGAATGAAGGATTGGATTTTTAGCAAGACAAATAGCACTTTGGTTGTCACTAAACAACGGAGAACCATCTTGTTCTCTTCCTAATTCCTTTAGAAGGTTCTTCAACCATATCATCTCCTTCGCTGCTTACGAGATAGCTACATACTACGCTTCGAGTGGTTGAGAGAGAGACCCTTCCTTGAAGTTTAGACTTCCAAGCGATAGTTGTACCACCCAATGTAAAAATATAACTTGTTGTGCTCTTTCTACAGTCAAGATCACCTCCCAAGTACGCATCGAGAAAACCCACTGTAAAATGAGATTACTTCTCTTGAAAGACAAATGCATCTTTGAAGTGCCTTTCAAATATCTGAATATCCACTTCACTCCTTCCCAATGCTCCTTTCAGGGATTTGATAGAAATCGCTCACAACTCCCACTTGCATGTGCTATGTACAGTGCGGTGCAAACCATAGCATACATCAAGCTTCCTACTGCGAGATGCATATGGCACTTTAGACATGTGACTTTCTTCTTCTTCGTTTGAGAAGATTGCCTCTTTGAAAACTTTAAGTGAGTTCCCAAAGGTGTATTCCTGGTTTTAGCATTCCCAACATTGAATCCGCTAAGCAATTTTTCTATATATTTTTCTTGAGATAAGTTCAAAATACCTTTATCTCTATCTCGGGAGATTCTCATACCAAGAATTTGCTTGGCTGGACCAAGATCCTTCATTTCAAAGCTCTCGACAATTGTTTCTTCAACTTGTCAATTTACGCCATATTAGCTCCAACAATCAACATGTCGTCAACATATAAGGCAAGAATGATATAGCTATCAACATATTTCTTCACATAACAACGGTGATCTTCTTCACATCTGCGAAATCCTGAGTTTCTCATAAACTCATTAAACTTCTTGTACCATTGTCTCGGCGCTTGTTTTAATCAGTACAAACTTTTATGAAGCTTGCATACAAGATTTTCTCGCCTTGTACTTCAAAACCTTTTGGTTGTGTCATAAAAATTTCCTCTTCAAGATCCCCATGTAAGAATGCGGTTTTGACATCTAAGCTGCTCCAAATGAAGATTTTACGCAGCTACTATACTCAAGATAACTCGATGGTAGTCATCTTGACAACGGGAGAGAAAATTTACGTGAAGTCAATTCCTTGTCTTTGTTGGAACCCTTTCACTTCTGAGTCTAGCCTTATATCTTTTCTTTGCCATCTGGTTCTTCTTTCAACCTATAGACCCACTTGTTTTGCAAAACTTTCTTTCCTTACGGTAGCTTGGTTAAAGACCATGTTTTATTCTTCTGAAGGGACTTTATCTCATCTTCCATTGCTAGCTCCCACTTAATAGATTCATCTCCTGCATAGCCTCGGCAAAATGCTACGGCTCACCGACATCGATCAACAACAAATAATGCAATGAAGGGGAATACCTTTGTGGTGCTACAATTGTTACTGCTAGATCTTCTAACCAAGATTTCAGGAGTTGCTGACTCTACTATTTGTTCGGAGTTACGTCTCGAGGCTCGACATAGGCTCTACTTGTATATTACGCCTTCGGTTGACTACATCACTTTACGAAATTTCTTCTAATGATACTTGCTCTAGTTTGTTTATTTACATTTGCGGATCTGCAATCCTGTCTCTATAGAACATGTTTTCATTAAAAGTAACATTTCTACTTCGATAATTTTCTTGTTTTGGTCATCCCAAAACACTGTAGCCAAACATGTCGGATCCATAACCGATGAAATAACAACGTTTTGCCTTAGGGTCCAATTTATCTCTACTATTAGAGTCTAACATAACATATGAAGCACAACCAAAAACTTTCGGATGTGAAAGATTTACCTCTTTTCCGAGACCATACTTCTTCGGGTAACTTATAGTCTAAAGGGCTGATGGTCCTCTGTTTATGAGATAGGATTGCTTGTGCTTATTGCATACGCCCAAAATACCTTGGGTAATCATGTTGGATTCTCATACATCTTGCTCTCTCATTCAAGGTTCTGTTCATTCTTTACGCCACACCGTTTTGTTACGGTGTTCCTGGGCTGTCTTGATCATTACGATCCCATTCTCACGAACAAAACTCCTTGAATTGACTACTTGTCATATTCTCCACCATTATCGAGACTTCAAACATTTGACCTTTAAACCTGTTTGAGTCTCGACCTCCTTTTTCCACCTTTTAAACACAGAAAACACATCGGATTTATTTTTAAGAAAATAAACCCATACCTTTCTTGTAGAGTCATCAATGAAGGTTACATAATATTGTGAACCTCCAAGGGATTTCACTGAAGGCTGGCCCCGAACATCTGTATGCACTAGTTCTAGTCTTTCAACTTTAGACGACTTACTTGTTTTGGAGAAGCTAACCTTTTTACGCTTTCCAAAGATACAATGTTCGCAAGGTCCAACGTCGACATGCTTCACGTTAGGTATTTTACCTTTTGATATCATGAGCTTCATTCCTTTCTCACTCATATGCCCAAGCCTCGATGCCATAAGGAGGAATTGTTGCCAACTTACGCAGCCGATATCATATCCTCATACTGCAATCATGTAGAGAGATCCTTGCTTCTTTCCACGAGCAACAACAAGATTACCTTTCATTACCTTCCAATGTCCATCTCCAAAAGTGGTGTAATGTCCCTCATCATCCAAGCGCCCTATAGATATTAAGTTTCTCTTTAAGGTTGGAATATGTCGACATTATTCAAAGTCCACACGTTTCCATTAGAGGTTACGATGTTAATATCACCTCTTCCTATGATATCAAGAGATTTTCCATCTGCAAGGTAGACCTTCCCAAACTTTCCAGAAACATAGTTAGATAATAGTTCTAAGGAAGGTGTAGTATGAAATGACGCACTTTGAGTCCATAATCCATGAGTCAATAGAATTATCTAAACTACATAACGAGTGCATCTTCAAC